GCCCGTCATGAAGTCTCAGCTTCCCAAAATGAAAGTTCTCCTCCTGAAACCACCAAAACTGGAGCAGAACCTGAGAAGCGAGGCGCCGCCCCGGATGCTGTCTACGGAGCTTTGTACGAGACGCTTTTCCCCGAGAATTTCACCTCCGAGGTCATAAATTCGCTCCTCGAACCTCCAACTCAAACCCCGTCTTCGCTCTACAAACCTGAAATCCGCAGCAAGCTCAGACATCTGGACGCCAGAACCGAACCCGTCACGGTCAGAACCCTCCAGACTGAAACCAGCACCACGTACGATCGCGTTACAACTTTGCATGAGAAGATGAATGAGCCTGCCAGTTCTAGTCAGAGCTCCAGATTTCCTTCGTACCAAACCTATCAGCTTCAGAGGAGCCCAGAAGTCCACCACCGGTTCCGTCCCTCCTCCCTCAGCTCGGCCTCCACAGATCCGAGCGCTGGTCGGGCTCCTTACTCAGAGCTGACCCGCCTGCATTCGCAGGTGAAGTCAGACGGCAGCGTCCCGAGGCCAGCCTCCGCCTCTCCGGTTTCTGACTCCGTAACGTCCCAGGAGACCGACTCTCAGGTTTCAGACTCCAAGCGCAGAGTTGTTCTAGTCAGAGAGTCGCTGGCGGACGAGCAGAGCGCCGCGAAGCCTCTCCAGCTGAGAATTCAACCCGCCGAGTCGCTCTCCGGACAGATGGACGCGCAGGACGGGCCCCTGAGCCCGGCGTACCTCAGCGTCGGCTCGGACGAAGGCAGCGCCGCCGAGATCTACTACAGCGCCGAGGAGGACAACGGCAGCGAGGACGAGGAGATGTTCACGGTGGACGAGAGGGAGGAGACCTTTGTGGAGGCGGAGCTGCCTCCAGAGAAGAAAAAGGTCGTGTTTGTTAAAACGGGAAGCGAGCAAGATGAAAGTGGAAGACTTCAGAAGACAGAAGAGGTTTTAGGAGGCAGTGATGCAAAGGAAGAAGAAAGTGAGAGTAGAGAGGAGATCCCTGAAACACGGATAAAGACGATTTTGTTTGTTAAAAAGAAAAGTGAGGAAGATAAACATGAAACGGAGCAACGGATCAGAGAGGTGCAAGAATCAGGAAGGTCAGAGCTTCTCACAGGCGGTGATGCAAAGATGTTCACGGTGGAGGAAAGAGAGGAGACGGAGCAGCTTCCAGAGACGCTGAAAAAGAAAGTCCTGTTTGTCAAGATGAGAAGTGAGGAAGATAAAAGTGAAACAGAGCAACAGCTCAGAGCTCAGAGGTCAGAGGATCACGTCCAGGATTTAGGAAAGTCCCAGTTTCTTACAGGAAGTGATGCAAAGACGTTCACGGTGGAGGAGAAAGAGGAAGCTTATGTGGTAGATGGCGGTAAAGAGACGGAGCTGCTTCCAGCTTCAGGAATAAAGAAAGTCCTGTTTGTTAAGATGAGAAGTGAGGAAGACAAACGTGAAACAGAGCAACAGCCAGGAGGTCAGAGCGCTGAAGCTCAAGTGCAGGAGTTAGGAAAGTCCCAGTTTCTCACAGGAAAAGATGCAAAGCAGCAAGACAGCGAGGATGCAAAGACGTTCACGGTGGAGGAAAGAGAGGAAGCTTCTGTGGTGGAAAGCAGGACGGAGACGGAGCTGCTTCCAGAAACGGAGGTAAAGAAAATCCTGTTTGTTAAAATGAGAAGTGAGGAAGACAAACGTGAAACACAGCAACAGCCAGGAGGTCAGAAGTCTGAAGCTTCAGAGCAGATAGTAGGAAGATCTGAGTTCTTAGAAGGCGCTCAAGTGAAGGAGAAGGAAAGAGAGGATGAAGGAGAGGAAGCTTCTGTGGTGGAAAGCAGGAAGGAGACGGAGCTGCTTCCAGAGGTGGAGGTAAAGAAAACCATGTTTGTTAAAAACCATCCTGAGAGAGAGCAACAGAGGATTCCTGCTGATGCAAAGCAGAAAGAAAATGAGGACAAAGAGACGTCCACGGTGGAGAGAAGAGAGGAAGCTTCAGTGGTGGATGGTAGGAAGGAGGTGGAGCTGCTTCCAGAGGTGGAGGTAAAGAGGCTCGTTCAGAAGGAGGAAGATGAGACGCAGCAACAGGTCGTGAGCCAGACGTCGGGTTCTGATGGGCAGGATTTGGCAAAATCTGAGTTTCTTGTAGACGAAACTTTAGCGGTAGATGGTCGGAGAGAGACGGAGCTGCTTCCAGAAGTGGAGATAAAGAGCGTCGTGTTTGGTGAAGTAAAGCAACGGAAGGCTGAAGTTTTAGTGCAAGAACCAGGAAAGCTTCTCACAGACTCTGACGCAAAACAGACACAAAGCGAGGACGCTGGAGAGCAGAGTTCTGTGGTGGAACGCAGGAAGGAGACGTTTCCAGAAACAAAGACAGAGAAAATCGAGTTTGTTAAAAACGAGGACGACAAACCGGAGCAACAACCAGGAGGTCAGAGGAGAGAGCTTCTTGTGGATGCAGCAGAAAAAGAAAGCGAGGATAAAGAGATGCTCATGATGGAGGAGAGAGAGGGAGCTGCTGTTGTAAACGGCAGGAAGAAGACGGATGACCTTTCAGAAACTCAGATGAAGAGCGTCGTGTTTGTGAAAGACGAACCGGAGGGAGACGAACGTGAAACAGAGCAACAGCTCAGAGGCCAGAAGGAGGACGATCGTCTGCAGGGTTGGGGAAAATCTGAGTTTCTCCTCGATGCAAAGCTGAGAGAAAGTGAGGATGTAAAGAAGTTCACAGTGGAGGGAAGAGAGGAAAACTTTGTGCTAGACAGTGGACAGAAGACGGAGCTGCTTCCAGACGCTGGGATGGAGACTGTCCTGTTTGGTGCAGCGCTACATGAGGGCGATGACAGGGAAACAGAGCAGCAGATCAGAGGCCAGGAATCAGGAAAGTCAGAGCTTCTCCCAGACGGTGAGGACGCCTCTGTGGCCGACGACAGGAAGGAGGCGCAGCTGCCTCCAGAAACGGGGATGAATCAGCTGAAGTCGGACGTTTGGGGGCAGAAATCTGGGACATCTGAGCTTCTTTCAGCCAGGAGTCGGCCTGCGGTGAAAGCTGAGAGGAGGGAGGGCAGGCGGGAGGAGCTACCGGCCACACCGGTTCAGCAGGTGAACGCTCCGCAGGTATGCAGCGTGGCTCCGCCCTCCAGGCCGGGGGAGGGTCCGGAGGGACACTGGACTGAAACAGAAGCCCCCTCTAATGGACAGGAGCGACTCCCAGAGCAGCAGGGACAATGCTCTGAGAGCTCCCATGAAGCCTCCAGGAAGCTCAGACCGGACCCTGACACAGCAGCAGCTCCTCTGATTTCACTGAGCAGAGCCGGAGACGGCAGCAGAACCGACCCAGAAGGAGCTCTGACTGACAGCCGAGGAGCAGCTGAGGAGGCTGAACACAGCAGAGCTGCAGCGCCGAGCAGAGAGGGGGAGGATTCATCCGCTCAGAGCGCCGACGGCAGCAGAGCTCCGCCAGTCGAGCTGTCGGCAGCCAGAGCTCAACATCCTGAAGCTGCAGAACCTCCGCCGGACCAGCACCTGCATCAGAGGTGAGTGAACGTCTCAGAGCTGCTCTACTCTCACTTAATGTCAGGTTCTGAACGGTTTCTCTGTCATTTAGCAAAGTGCAGCTTCTGTCCAACATGTTGGACCAGTTTGGTTGAAGTCAGACTTAATGACAGACTTTAAACTTCAGCTTGTTTTCATCTGATGAGGCCAAATGTTTCCAACAACAGCAGCAGTGATGAGCTGCTTCGAGTCCAAACACCAGAACACAGCAGCTCACGGTGGAGGATTTAAAAGAAATGTTCTGATCACATCTCATCGTCAACATAGAATTAGTCACCACTACTGTTCACACGGTGCATATATTTCTAATGTTTTTAACTTTTTAAAATGTTTTTTGTTAT